GCACTTGATCACCGGGATTTATGGGCAGGTTGTCACATCTCAGGATAGAGGAGCCTGTTCTCTCTCCCACCCTCTCCTTCCCCATCCCCGGAAATGTTCCATGTTCCTTCTTTTATGTAATCTTACAGAGCGTGACTCCTACTGCTGGCGGTGGCGACCTGTCTTTTAATGCATCCCCCCCCCCGTGCGTAATCAGACCACATTCGCGCCAGGGGCGAGGACGAGGTCGCACAGCAGTGGCCAGGTCACGCCGCAGGTACATCCCCACGCGCACTCACCCACCCACCCAGCCCATGTTTTTTTTATAGGGAGTTGCCCCTCGATGGTGAAAGTGTTCCTTCTCTTTCCAACACATGGGTGTTTCCAAACAACAGCGGCACCCCCGCCGCCGCCGCCCCAGCCACCTACCACCCCCAGCCCTCCCAGATTATTTGCAATTAAGCGCAATTCTCAAGTCACATTTATCTTCGGGGGAAAGCGCGATTGCAAACTGTCAACGGGTCTCGCCAAGGCGATGCGGGATAATCCGTCTGCAGGAGATGCAGGGTAATCTGGAGAGCTGACCTCCTCCTCGTCTCTTCTCCAGCGCGCGAGAGAAAGACAGCAAAAGAAAATCAATAACGCGCAGGAGACGGATTTAGTAGGTTTTAACCATGCCGTAAGAAAGTGAGATATAAGAGGGTGAAAGTGGTGGCGGTGGGGGGATGTCTGAGGAAGGAATCTGCGTAAACAGGGGCAGGGAGGGGGCTTTTGAGGACGCTTCTGGTTTGATCAGGAAGGAGGCAGCCCGTTGCCTCCCCTTCTCCCCTCCGCTCAGCCCCAAGGACACACACGTGTGTACGCAGCAGCGTGGACCTCTCTCCCCCTCGTGTTTCACGTGGATTCTCTTCTACAGTCAGGTCGGCACCATTTCAGAGCGAGGGCTGCGGCAAAGTGTGAGGGTCCCTGGGCAGTCACACTTTGTCCCTAAGAAAAGTGAACCAATCCTTGCACTTGCTTCAAAGGCGCAAAAGTGCCTACTTCTTTCTTCTTTTAAAGAAGTGCAATCAGTTTTTTTAAAGGCCATCACCTCGTCTGTTAGTGACACTTTGTCCCCCGCCCCGCCCACCAACATTCCTCCCTTGTGTTCGTCCAAGAGGTCGAGCAACAGCCAACCCAGCTGAAATTAAACCGGGCGAAGAAGACGTGATCCCGAGATATTGAAAAGGAAAGCCTAAGGAAGGGAGCGAAAATGTGCAGCATTTTTGGACAGGGAGAAGACCGCTGCTGTGCGCGCAGGAAATGAGCGCACCTCTTTTTAAAATCAGTATGGTGTGGGTTGGGGGGGGCGTCCAGCATTGCACCCCTATAACCACGAATCACCTCGTCTGTTAGTGACACTTTGTCCCCCGCCCCGCCCACCAACATTCCTCCCTTGTGTTCGTCCAAGAGGTCGAGCAACAGCCAACCCAGCTGAAATTAAACCGGGCGAAGAAGACGTGATCCCGAGATATTGAAAAGGAAAGCCTAAGGAAGGGAGCGAAAATGTGCAGCATTTTTGGACAGGGAGAAGACCGCTGCTGTGCGCGCAGGAAATGAGCGCACCTCTTTTTAAAATCAGTATGGTGTGGGTTGGGGGGGGCGTCCAGCATTGCACCCCTATAACCACGAATTGGGCTGCATTTAGACCACGATATGATGTGCAATTAGGCAAAAGCGCTTTAGCTAATTGGGTACTGAACAAATTCCGCAGAAAATGGAAAGTTGGAGATGACAATTAAGCAAGAGCTTTTCCATCTAGCCAAAGTTAAGCACCTTTTGTCGTTGCTGCGGGTCCCATCGATTCAATGGGAGAAATTGTAAGCAAGTGAGCCAGGTGAAATCGATGTGCTTGCTTTTCGAGATTTTTTTTTTTAAGTGATCAATTGCAAAAGTAATAACACGACCAGTCACCAGTTTGGGTGTCCACACACACACACACCTTGCTCCGTTGCTTATCGCGACAAAGTGACTATTCTCTTAGCTGTTGGGGTGTTTGTTGATACCTTTCCATTTTACTGGCTCGTTACTCAATCCCGTTTTTAAAAAAACAAATGCCTTCTTCCAGGTTACAACAACAACAAACACCCAGTATGGTGTGTGTGTGTGTGTGTGTGTGTGTGTGTGTGAGAGAGAGAGAGAGAGAGAGAGAGAGAGAGAGAGAGAAGGCTGAAGCTGCAATTTTAAACAATCAAAAATATCCATATTTTCTCATCAGATGGACAAACTTGGACCATAAACCCCGGAGACTCTAATATACGTTTCCCCGTTCACCGTACGTACTTAACACCAACAGAAACTGCCGCTGAGGTGTGTGTGTGTAAGGGTGGGGGAAGAGCATTTCACTCAATGGGACTACTGTACTTAAAACAACAGCAGCAGGTCATCCTCACCAACAGCCGTGCAACGATCGGCTTGGCAAACCTCAGTGCCTTCTGTCTAAGGAGCTGGCACACTTTTGACATCTTCTCCCCGCCCCCCGCCCCCAGCCTTCTAACTTAAAAGTCGTCTGTTTCCCCTTTCCATTCACGCATTAAAAGACCAAGTGTGAACTCCACAAATCAGCTCGAAAGCACGGGTTCCTTGGCTTTAAGGTGCGCGTGCTAAGCTTAGCGGGCCTTGCTCCCAGGTAAAGATGCTGTGGGGATCCACTGCCGAGAGATCCTGGCGCCTCTGCGCTATTTACGCCTCTGCGTAAAAGCAAGGGTCACTGAAGGATCGTGGCACTTGGAAAAAACACTCGTCGGTTTTTGCGGATGGGCCGCTGACAAGAATCGATTCGGCCAAGTGACCAGGTTTCACCCACTTTACATTTGATCAAATCGAAACACACACGCACAAGATCACCCCCACCTCCTCTTCTTCGCTGCCTACAGGCCCTCGTCGTATCTCTTGCTTTATTTATCTCCTGATCGCCAGGGCCCCGCTAGGAAGAAAGCTTTTGTTTTGGGGAGGGTTTCGGCTAAACCGCCCCCACCCCCGATCCAGCTCCGTCTCAAGCGGTGGGATTCCTAATGGCTCTCTGAGCCGCGCTAGGAGGCTCAGGGCGAGGGCAGACTTGTGCAAGTTGTTCCCAGGATGTAAATTAGGTCCCCAAAGCTGTTGTCCAAATCGAAGAAACAGAGAAATTAATCTGGGAGACTATCCATCATAGACTGTAATAAAGGGAGCGACACGGATGAGACAGATGATATGATTAAGGAGCTGTGGTCGTTTTAATTAACTTTTTGCTGTCCTGTAATGATCAAACTGGTCAACAGACCCGGTCAATAAGCATGTTAATATCAAACAAATAAAACCAGGGATGATTAAAAACCTCCTGGTTTATTAAATTTGAAATTCAAATGAAATTTATGCTGCAGATGCATACAGAATGCTAATAGGTCGTCACTTTAACCCAGAGTGGTGGATGCTACAGGTTTGCAAGAAAAAACGCACCGCATCTCTCTAAACCCTGCGCATCACGGGGTGGGTGGCGAGTTTTTATTTTCTGTGGGTGCACGCGGGGGAAAGGCGGAGGGAATAGCCTCCCCAGTTGCCGGCCCTTCCAGATACCTGAACGCTTTCTTCATATAAGAACTGCAACCGTCTAAGGTGTGAGCTGGCCGATATAAAAACCTCAAGCTCCGGGAGCTAGCAAGCGATTTACATAAGAGGGGGAAGGCCAGATGTTAACCGGCTGAGGGTCAAAAGTGGATAAAAATCGACACCCCCCCCCAGTTCAGGAGTGCTTGCCTTCTCTAACTTTTTTTGGGAGGTGTAAAAAAGAACCAGGATACGGTGGAGTTTTGCTTTGCCCCCCCCCCCCAATTCTAGCTCCCGACCGTATGTTTGGAATAGTTCCACCGACACCCTTTGCAAATCCTTGCCAACCTGGGCATATGCCGCCTCATAGTTTTCCGAACGTAAATCAGAAAGTAAGTAAATAAAAAAAGTAAAATAAGAAAAGACATCTACCTAAGCAACATGTTTAAAGCCATCTGGAAATAAATAACCATTTCCGTCAGAATAAATATCCCCAAGACATAAAGAAAATCAGAGAAGGAAGAAAAGGAGTTTTTCACTGGTCCTCTTCCCCTAACGAGTTTCTGCTCTGTAATTAATTTTGTTGTCGTTTCCAAAGCTGTGGAGAGGCAACGCAAAACCGTCGTTTTACGCCAAGCGCTTCTAACCCTCTGCTGCTCGAGGGAAAGGTATTGCCTGCTTGTTCAGGAGCGGGTGGAATCTGCCAATATGTCTTAATAGTTACACTTCTGGTGCACAGTGGATAAAGGCAACAGATAAAGCTAATCGCCATTCATTCATACGTGAGGGGCTCTCCCGTAAAACGCGTTTTCTTTCACACGCACTCGCCCCCCCTTTTGTGGTGAGGGGGGGGTCAAGGATAGGATTGATTAAGTTTAAATCCGAAATTTAAACAAGTGTGCATTAGGTCTTTAAAATGAATATCATTACAGAAGGAGACCAAAGCAATGAAGTTAATTCTTTTTTATTTGTTAAACGGAGTTCCCTCCTTCCCCCACCCCTTCCTCCTCCTGGGCTGGCCTGTCACGCCTTCTCAACAGGCTAAAATCATTCAGAGCAGCTCGCGGAGAGAAACACGACATTTATGGTAACCATCAGCCTTCAGAGAAAGAAAGCAGTTCATTAATTTACTTCACTCCTTACTTCGAAGTATGATAATGCGCGTTACCCCTTAATCAATAGATATGATGTACAGTCAATAAGCATAGGGCGTTAGAAAGGGGTGTCCACCCAGCCTTTGGGGAGGAAAAAAGAGAATTTGCCACATTAGTCTTACACCAATGTTAGGGATCTCGGCTACAAAGCAGATCTAAGGACGCGGGGACGTCCAAGGCAAACACATCCTCAAGTCAAAACAACCCGGTTCTCTTTACTAATATTGGCATTAACCTCTCCTACCTTGAAATCAATATTGGGACAGGGCGAAGCGCCAATGCACGCTTTAACTCGGCTGGTGCTTTCCCTTCTGCCTAAATTAATAATGGTTGTACCGAAGGCAAAACAACAACCCTGCGCGCAGCACGATTGCGCGCAACACCTGAGGCGCTTCTCCAACCGCTCCAGCAGCAGACCAGAGGGTTTCCCCGCCCCACCCCAAATTTGCAACAAAAGAGAGAAGAGGAACGCTCGCGCCCAAAGCAAATAAAGAAAAATAATATAAAAAAGAAGGCGCAAGAGTATGGGGTTGAAATAGGTTTAATCCGCCCTTTGGAGAGGGGAATGAAGGGCAATCCTATCGCAGGCTTCTCAACCATATCTGCAGCTCTTTGCAGTTTTACACAACACTCTTCCTTTACATAACCAGTAGGTGCTGGGCGGCGGTGGGTGGATGGAAAGGAATGTTCCTCCCTCCATCCGAAGCGGGGTTTTCCGAACCACCCAAATGACTTATCCGGAGAATGGCAAGGGAGCAGGCTGCTGGTGGAAGTCTAAAGCAATCCACTTTAAATTAAAGCCACAACTCCTAGAGCGCGCGCGCGCGCTGTCAGATTTATGTATGCCTTCCTAAAGTGGTGGGGGGGGGAAGAGAAACCCCTGGGGAGGGGGGTTTAATATGCTCTCCCCCAAGCAATGAACTGAGCGACGCTTAAAGAAGAGGGAGACTGGTGCGTGGAGAGTTGCACTTTGGAAGGAAGTGCGCGCTTTGGAGAGGCGCGCCTGTGCATTCGCCGCCCTCCCTGGCGTCCGCCTGCATCCTTGCCGCCGGCAGCTTCTCTCTCTGTTTCTCTGCGGCTGCCTGCGCGCCTTTCTTCCCGGAAAGGAGCTCCTCGCCTCGTTGCAGCGGCGGCGGCGGCGGAAGGCGCTTGGCGGGGCCGATGATGACCTCACGCGGCCACGTCTCGGAGCGGCTGTCGGCGGCGCGGATTGGCTGGCGCGGGCTCAGCGGCACTTCAAAGCCGGCGAGGGAGCTACAATTGTGGTGGAATGGGCGGAACTGATCATTGTATTGCACACCTCTTAAAAAAAAACACTGCCTCTGATTTATCAATATAAAAAAGATCCTCTGAGAGGAGGGCACTTTGTGGGATGGCAACTTCACTTCTAGGGGTGAGTCTGAGGATTTTCTCCCCCCCTCCTTTGCTGTTTTAATTGGGTCCTTTTTATTGGCGATTGGAGAAGGGTTAAAGTAGCCCCTCTCTTGACCGGGGGCTATCAGTCTCTCCTATTGAGGCTTTTATTTCCCCCCCTCTTTTGCCTTTCTCTCTCTAAGTCCAAGTGAGTTCGAGAGAAAAGAAAGCGGAAAAAGGGGAGGGGGAGGAAGAAAGAGGGCAGTCACTTTTTTTTGTTTTTTTGTCAGCGTGCAGGCAAAGGTTTTAAGGGCATTAGTAGGAACCACGTCCAGAGCTTGGGCTGAGCTATTCCTGTATCCCCGGAGAACTGGCCTCTCTCCCTCTCCCTCCCTCTATTATCTGCTCCGAGGGAAAAAGCAGCTGCCTCGCTCGGTCTCCTCTTTCCCTGAGAGGTTTTTTCCCCCTCCTTTAAAAAAAATTTGCAACAGCCTGTTGTTGTTGTTTTCCCCCTCCTTTAACATTTCACTGAGCCCGTCATTTCCTGCAGGTATGTGAAACCTTTTCCTCAATCTAATTCCTAGCTGTGGGTGAACAGGAAAGGTGGCGGCGGGTGGTTGTTTTTTGTTGGGGTTTGTGGGGAGGAAACTGCCGTGGGAAAAAGAACCCCCTTAAAAAAGTTTACAGACAGCTGGGTGGGGAAAGAGATCTGAATCTGGATCGTTTTGGCTAAATCCTGGAGTAGACTCTTTGGAAACCGAGCGACTCTGGATTGGGGCTCCGGGCTTGGCCAAGCATCTCCCGGTCGCCAGTAGGAGCCCGCGATGTCAATGGACGGGGCTTTAGCCTCCGTTCCTGCTCCTCGGCTCGCCTCGGGGCTGCGTTTCCAGCTTCATGCCCAGAAGCCGTCGGCTTTCTTCCAAAGCAAGCCTCTCCGGGAGTTTTTGAGCGGGGAGACGGGAGCTTAAATGTCCTCCGGAGAGCCTCGAGGAGGCGTCCGGCAGCAGCCCCTGGAGCGCAGCTGGCTCCTGGTCGCCCCCGTCTCCCCATCGGCGGGCAAGCCGAGCAGCGCTGGGGGCTCTCCTGGCCGCGAGGTCTCTTTCCCGGCCGATTCTGACGCGCGCTTCCCTGCGGGCCTCTCTCCCTTCTCGCTGCAGGAAGAACCGCGCCTGGGCTCCACTCCGCTGGCCATGCTCGCCGCCACCTGCAACAAGATCGGCAGCCCCAGCCCCTCGCCGTCGGCGCTGTCGGACAGCGCGTCGCCCTTTGCCAAAGGCTTCCACCCGTGGAAACGCTCGTCGTCGTCGTCGGGCAGCTGCAACGTCGTGGGCTCCAGCCTGGCCGGCGTCGGCGTCTCCGCCTCGGCCCGAAACGGCTCTTCGGCTCACGCGGCGGCGGCGGCCGCAGCAGCGGCAGCGGCAGCCGCGCTCGTCTCGGACTCGTTCAGCTGCGGCGGGTCGCCGGGATCCAGCGCCTTCTCGCTCACGTCCAGCGGCGCCGCGGCGGCGGCCGGCTCGCCCTTCGCCAACGACTACTCCGTCTTCCAGGCGCCCGGGCCGTCGGGGGGCGGCGGCGGAGGGGGCGGGGGGCGGCGGAGGGGCGCAGGACGCGCACCAGCCGGTCTTCATCTCCAAGGTGCACACGTCGGTGGACGGCCTGCAGGGCATCTACCCGCGCGTGGGCATGGCGCACCCGTACGAGTCGTGGTTCAAGCCTTCGCACCCGGGCGACGCGGGCGCCTCCAGCTGGTGGGACGTGGGCGCCGGCTGGCTCGACGTGCAGAACCCCAACGGGGTCCACCCGGCCGCCGCGGGGCTCCCCGCCGGCTCCCTGCACTCCCCTCTGGGCGCCTACAACTCGGATTACTCGGGCCTGGCGGGCCACTCGGCCTTCAGCAGCGGCGCGGCCTCGACGCACCTCCTGAGCCCCGCCGGGCAGCACCTCATGGACGGATTTAAGCCCGTGCTGCCGGGCTCGTACCCGGAGCCGTCGCCGTCGCCTCTGACGGCGGGCGCGGGAGGCTCCATGCTGGGCGCGGGCCCCTCCGCGCCGCTAGGCGGCTCCCCGCGCTCCTCGGCGCGCCGCTACTCGGGCCGCGCCACTTGCGACTGCCCCAACTGCCAAGAGGCCGAGCGGCTAGGCCCCGCCGGCGCCAGCCTGAGGAGGAAAGGCCTGCACAGCTGCCACATCCCCGGCTGCGGCAAGGTGTACGGCAAGACGTCGCACCTCAAGGCGCACCTGCGCTGGCACACGGGCGAGAGGCCCTTCGTGTGCAACTGGCTCTTCTGCGGCAAGCGCTTCACGCGCTCGGACGAGCTGCAGCGCCACCTGCGCACGCACACGGGCGAGAAGCGCTTCGCCTGCCCGGTCTGCAACAAGCGCTTCATGCGCAGCGACCACCTCAGCAAGCACGTCAAGACCCACAGCGGAGGCGGCGCGGGAGGAGGCGGCGGCGGAGGCGGCGGAGGCTCGGGAGGCGGCAAGAAAGGCAGCGACACCGACAGCGAGCACAGCGCCCCCGGCAGCCCGCCCTGCCACTCCCCGGAGCTGCTGCAGGCCTCCGAGCCCGGCCACCGGAACGGGCTGGAGTGAAAGCGGCAGGCCCCGAGGCAAGGCCCCGAGGGGGACTCCTTTTCGTGTGTGTGTGGTTTTCCTTCTTTCTCCTCCCGCCTTTTTGTTTTCCCGCCCAGCCGCCTGAGGGGAAACCTCGCGCCTGTCTCAGCGACTCTGGTCAGGGGGTAAAAAACAAAACACAAAAAACACGGGGGAAATCTCTCTGGACATGTAAGTAGCGCCGCGCATTGATCCCCCGCACGGACCCCTCACTGGGCTGCCTTGCCCCGCAAGCTCCGGCCCCCGGCCGCCCTCGCAGCTACGCCGCCTGAGCCGCGCGCGGGCGAGAGGAGGAGGAGGAGGAGGAGGAACTTTCTCGCGGGATCTTTGGGGGTCTCCCAAGCAGCTGCTCCAGAGAGGCAGCCCGCCCTCCCCACTGACTTCCACGCTCCAAGGGGAAGAGGTTTTATTTTTGGGCAGGGGGGGAGTCTCCAACCTGCGGGACGGAGGGAGGGCGTGGGATCCCGATCTGGACAAACTACAGAGCCAACAACCTATTGATTGAGAATTAGAGTGTCTTATCAGGAAACAAAACAAAAAGCAGCCAAGATCTCCCGCTGAAAGCACTTTGAATTAAATATATATATATATATATTATGGGAAGCTTTTTTAAATTAAAAAAAAACCACACATTATTTCGGACCACTCCTAAACTTCTCTTCAACTTTGCATTGAACTGCAGTCGCCAGCCAGCTAGAATGCTGCCCGTTGAAGTTGGTGGGATTACTCTGGAGTAAAAGGGTGAAGCCTGAAGCATTTGTGTTTGTGGATATGTGAGTGTGCATGTAGGTGTGATCACTAACCAGCCCCATTCGCAAATCACTTACGCCAGAGTATTCCGAATTGGAATGAAGTGGGTACTTATTTTACAACATTTCCAAGTACATAAACTGCTTCAGAGGCTAGTCCAAGGCATTTTAGTCTGTGATCCCTACCTGAGGTTGGGGGGAGGTGGGGCGTTACATTCAATGGGAGTCAATTAAACTTTCTTCCAAGTAAAGGAGTGTTTTGAGTGATATCCCCTTTGAAGCCCGTGAGATTTACAGCCAAAGGAAAATTCCTGAATTTCAGCAGATTTCGCTGGCATCCAATTCTAAAACAATTGCTCTGAAATAAGTGACTTCAATAAGAGGTTATGTCCAAGGATCTTCTTGGTGTCCTTAGGATTTCAACTTTACAGCTCAACCCCATATATGTTTACACAGAAGTAAGTAAAACTGAATTAAGTTGCCTTAAGCTACAATCCTATGCATGCTTATGGGAGTAATATCCATTGAGCACAGTGGATCTTACTTCTGAAGAAAACATGCATAGGGTTGGGCTGCACTCATTTCGTTCAATTGGACTGTATCAGTGTAAACCCCACTAATTTAAGTGAATTATGGATTGGGCTATAAATCTAAGTTCTCTGCCTTAATTGATCACAGCCTAAATCATGCTTAGTCTTTTTTTCTTTTTAAAAAATGCTTCTTGGAGAAAGTGTAATTACTCTGGCAAATCCAACACTTTTGGACACAAACATTTACATTTGTTCTTGGAAACCTTGAGTATAATCCAGACAAATTTAATGTCCAGTTGGTTTCAGTGGCTAAACTCAAGATTAATTCTATCCTATTGAAATCAAATGACTTTAAATTGCTTAATTGTGGCTGGATAGTGCCCATAATTCGAAATGTGTTTGACTTCAGATCTCTTCTGATGATTTTTATCTTAAAAGATAGAGATATAGCCTAATTTTCAGTAACTTCATTTTCTTAAAAGTTTCTCCCATGTTTAAAAAATTGTACCAGCGTGATAGCCCCCTGATTTCAGAGTTTCAGCATCTATATTCATGCAGTGCTCTAGATGCACCTAGGATTAAAATTATTATTTGTAGCATTATTTTTCTGATTTAAATAATTTAAAAAGTACCCTTGCTTTTCAGCGAGCCTGTAGTTTGAATGCCAAAAAAAGAGGGGGGTCATAGGGACAAATATTTGTAAAATAATTCTAAACCTAATGGTTTGTACAACAGAATCGTTGTAAAATAGCTAACAAATATAACTCCACCAGTGTATCGGTGTGAGATGCAGTTGTCCAGGGGACGATTTTGTATAGTATTTTTCTTGTATATTACTTCCAGTAAATATTTGAAAATATATTAAAGTACACTTGAGCTTCCCCCCCCTTCTTCCCCCCTCCTCTTTTTGGTCACAAGAAAATATTAAAGCATTATTGTTGCAGTCCTAATTAACTGCATTTTTAACTTGTCCCTTGAAGTGTGCAGCAAATTGCACTTCAGGATATAGTTTTTGCTTGAATATTAATTTAGATAGGCGTAAGACTGTAATTAAGCAAACAATATTTGATAAATGTTGAATGACATTTAATTTAATGGAGCATGTACTTATTTGCATTTGCTGGCAGTTCAGGTATAGTTTAAGTGAGAGTTCTCCTATATTTCAAAACAGTGGGCGCACCCAGACCCATGTATTAAATAAACTGTCCAAGTGAAACTGACTAATGATGGCCTATGTGTATTTCCTGAAAATAATAATGGTGAATGTTACTAAAACGCTCCTAATGCTACTTTGAAGTTTGCAAACCCTGCAAACAAATAGTCTCATTGTAATGTTGAAATAAGTTTGGATATTTCACATTGAAATGGAAAAAAAGCCTTTCGCTGGAACACTTTAAATTTGCATTTTAAATGCATGAAATGTAATTGATTTTTATCTGTAAGATTTTAAATGGAATTAATAAACACCAGATAAAATAATTGTTGTTAGGTTAGTTAATTTCTTTCTAAAGATAAAAAGATGGCATCTTCAAATTCATCTTCGAATTCCCTCTTCTGACTGATATCCCCCTTGAAAGCATACATACTCTCTAACCTGGTTGGGTAACATTTCCATGGAGACCTCATTGAAAGTAGACATCAGGGAAAGAAGTCCTATTGACAGCAACCAAGTTTACTTCTAAGTAGGACTGTTTAGTCAGGGGTGTCGGAAATCTTGCGGATGTTGTGTCAAGGAGGGAAAATAAAACAATTGCTGTGAATAATAACTGCTGATGAATGAGCACTTTGGTATTCAAATTATACTTTAAGAATGTACTCATTTGTGAAATACATCCATATTGTATTAACCTCTGTTGCTCATCACCAGATCTGATGGGGGGGGGCACGATTTGGAAAATATTGTGAAGGCATTTAAGTGGCTAGCTCTGTGTTTATATGTGTATACACATACAGGCACGTCTTGTGTTTCCTTTTAATGGAAAACGAAAGCAAAGGTAGAGTGAAGAGTGTCTTTCTGTCTGTCTTTTTTAAATGCAAAGTACTGCAATTTGTGCAAAGGAAGTTATACTATATCGTTAAATACTCAGACCCTGGGCTTTGCTGACTGGCATCTGGATCCGAGTCCAGCATAACCCACTTTCCGAAGCTTAGGATCGGAGCGTTGGGAAGGAAATTCTTCCCGGGGCTGCAAGTGAACAATTAACTGCTCTGACAATGGGAGGCTTCCTTTTCCCAAAGAGCCCTTGTGCTTGATCAGCATGAAGCTTTAAGTCCAGAAGGAGCACTCACTAACTGTTGATCTAGCTCTCTTGGCTATTGTCTAAGGCTGTCATGAGAGCGGTCCTAGCGTCCCGATCTTCGCCACTCTAAGAAAAAGAGACAAGTATCTCCTTGGAACGAACAACCCGATCCTAAGGACGTTTATTCAAAAGTCAGCACATTAATTCCAGTGCCAATTCCAACAAGTGTGTGCCGACTTAGTTCTAAATTAATGTGTTTAGGATTAGGGCTTGTTTCCTGAGCAATAAAGAGAGCAATAGAAAAACGAGGTGAGAAGCCCTATGAGGTTACATTTGGAGGAACCGTGGTGCTTGTTGCGTGAGTCCATGGACGTAGCCAGGATTTTTGTGGGGGGGGGCAGAACCTTAGTTACCTAAGTTTTTTTATTATTATTTTGGGGGGGGCAGCTGCCCCTCCCTGGATCCCCGCGGCTACGCCCATGCGTGAGTGTTTTGTTTCCCTCCGCCACCCGGAAATCCTGAGCGCGTTATTTTTTTGGCAAGGGATCTTGCTGGGTGTTGCCTCCCTTCCAAACTGGATAGGCGAAAACAGAAAGTTTGGGTTTGAGGCTGCAAGAAATAGGCAATTGTAAGACTATCTGGGGCCGTGTGGGGCCGAGAGCTGTAAAACTATTGCGCGCCCTCCGGTGCCAATCCTTGGGGAAGAGGATTGCTATTCTTAATCTTGTTCTCATTTAGGTTTCCACACCAAAATTTGGAAGCAATGTTAGGTGGCCTGCAGAGCAAGGGTTTTGTTTTGATTGGTTTTTTTTCCTCCCATCCCTCCAAAACCTTTCCCTTCTATCTAAAAGAGGAGCCTTGTATCGGTTTAACGCGCCTTCCCTGTTGTCATGCTTGTCTCTCCGTCGGGTCACAGTTTTCCTTCTAAAAGGATAAAGTTACGAAAACCACAAACGGTAGCGCGGTAAGGTTTGCAGTTGGAGCAGGTGGCAGCCACCTTCTCCTCGCTTCTTAAGATGCGCTAGTGTTTTCAGTCGGGGCTGTTCAGGATCTCTGCGGTCATTTCTAGCTCCCGAGTAAGCAAGCAGTACGAGGCTGGACTTAACTGTCAGGGGTCCTTTACCTTTACCTTTTAAGATGCACTGGAGTAAACTAACCCTCTCTGTCTCTCTGTCTCTTCCTGCCAGGCAACCGAAGGCGAGGGTGTCGATATGGGTTTATTGACTTGCCTTTGCTGCTTCTCAGTCGAAACTAGGAAGGTTAGGTTTGCTCCAAAGTAGGAAGCATCCAGGTTGATGTGGTGGTGTCTCTTTCTCAGCCTCACACCCAACCACCCCAACCCGCCCCTCTCCTAACGCAGAGGCCAGCCTGACCCCGAGGTCAATCGGGTCTCCATCAACCCGTCCCCCAAGTGCCTTCAAATGATTACGGCACTTCTCGTTTGCTCTTTGACCCACTGAAAGGTTCCCTGCTCTCCAAAGTCGTGTTGCATGCCTTGCTGCTGCTGCTGAAGTCGGTGCGCGCGCGGGAGAGAGGGCAGCTACTCCCACTTTTTATTTCAGTAACTTAGGATCTCTCCTGTCAGGGCTCCGCTTGGGATATTTTTTGTGAAAGACTGAGGAACAGAACCGGGTTTCCTTGGGGTGAGCGGGTGAGGGGACCATGCAGAGGGGAAAACGCGCAGTGGGCACCAGCGGGCTGTGTCAGTTGCCGCCTGTGCGGTTTTGCGTGGAGATACCGCCTTTGCAAAGCGACTTTGTAACTTCAACCCGCCTAACCACTAGACCCCACCAGGCCAGGCCCAGTTAGGGAAGCCGGCTATTTGGCCCCACGGACTTCAGTGGGGCTGAACTGCACTCTTCATTTAAGCCTTCTAACCTAACCTGATCCTGAACACCAGAGTGCGCTACGGGGCAAGACAGCATGTTAGGATTTCAGCCTTGGAAGCAGGTCTCTCTGGCCTTCATTCCAAGTAAATGAGGATAGAATGAGGGTGTGAATCACTTTAAAGCCGAGCACAACTCCTGAAACGTGGAAGGGCGAATAACATTATTCCTGCGTGAACAGACATGCCCGCTCTTCCGGTCCCTTTGACTCGGAATACAAAAAGATGGAGGTAAGCCTGGCTAAATGTGGGTCTCCCTCCTTCCTCCCCATCTCTGCCCCACTCCAGGCAGTAAAGGATCGACCACCTCGTTCATTTCATGCTCTCCAATCGCTCCCAAAGTTGAGTCACTTAAACCCTCCAGCCTCTTGGCTAGAAGGTAGAATAGCTGAGGGATTCGGTAGCGGGGTAGTGGGGACCCTACTGATCGCCCACTGGTTTGTTCCAATTGCTTTTCTTGGAAAGAGCAAGCTTTCGAGATTCTTGGAAAGGGAGCTTTCGAGATTCCCAGGTTGCGTAAAAGACCCGACACCCCCGGGCACAAAACCTCTGATAGAGGCAGCCAGCGCCCTGGGTTTCCAAAACAACACTGCAGCCAGCCTCAGCCGCTTCCCTTCCCCTTTCCAAAGGAAAAGGCTCGCTGGTCCCTCTGCCCCCTGGGCCGGTGGGGCACAGGACTCCTTGCGGATTAGGGGCTTTGAAATTCTCAACCGCGTTTGAGAGCTGGTGTGGCATTGTGTAACAGCGGGAAAGGTCGGACAAGGACCAGGATACAAATCTCTGCTCCGTCATTCATCGTGGGCGCCTCTCTTTCTCTTATTCTCACCTACCTACAGCGCAGGGGTGTTGTTGCGGGAATAAGACTGGGGCGGGAACAGGAAGAGATCCTTGGGGGGAAATAGTGGATACAGATGTAATAATGCTACGACAGGCAGCAGGTTTAGTTGGTCCTTCTGATGTTATTGGGAGAAGGATAAGTTTCGGGACTGAGGCTGCCATCCTAAACTGTTTGCGCTGTGTGAATTCGTCTGGCGATCTCGGCTCTGTCCTTGCGTCATCCTAATAGAAAGGAGCGCTGCCCTTGACTTCTGGATGGGTTGCTTCCTTACGTACAGTAGTTAGCTTGATTTCTTGCGGATTTGCTTCCCGGTTGCTTGTGCTTGCCCTTGCGCTCTCCTCTTCCTGTCCCGGGTTTATGTCCTCCGATGCGCAAGTTCCAGGAGTGCCCGGGGGCATTTCCAGGGGAGATCCTCTCGTGCGGGCTGAGTTAAATGGGATTTACTCCGCAGTCAAGTTGCACTTTGAGGATTGCCTCCTTCCTTTTAAAAGGAAGCGGGTCATACACTAGACAGATCTAGTCCACAAAAGCTTATGCCACAATCGAGCGTTTCCGGTGCAATCCTGTATATGTATATGTCCAGTGAAACTTACCGCCAGGCAAACGTGCATAGGATTGCGCTGTTAGCCAGCAGCCCTAGCCATGTCTACTCAGAAGTAAGTCCTATTGATCCGACGGGGCTTACTCCCTGGTAAACGGAGTTAGGGTTGCAGCCTTGTTCTTTCAAAGAGCCTTGAATCCGTCCTTTGGTTTAACGCTGTTCAGTTGCTCCCCAGCTTCGTTTAAATTTGTGATAGATACAAGGAAAGTCGCGGCCACGTTTTCAGTTTGGAGGTGACATGGGAACCCCAAGTAGCACCAATGATTGTGTATCGCGGCCAGAAGCCTAGGCTAGCCCTCCAAGAATTTGTCCAAGCCTCTTCTAAAGCCATCTGGGTTGGTGGAAAGAACTAGTGCTGCTTCTCTTGGGGCAGCGAATTACTTTTAAAGCTAGACTGCCTTGGTTTCAAACGGGTCTGAGACCCTGAACACACTTAACCAGAAGTTAAGTCCGCATTAAACTCAGCGAGGCTTGAGACATTTGAGCACAAACGTTTGGGAAGCAAAATACGTTCGGAATTAGAAACCAAACAGTGCCCTTCTCGACCTTGTTTGTTACTTTGTTTTAAAATCTACACATCGCTGAATTATCCAAACATCTAAGAGGTTTACAGTACTGATCCGGATGGAGGGTCTCGCAGGGGTCTTCCTGGCAGCCCCCTAAAGGTGTAATGCCTCCTGTTCGGTCAACTTTGACTCCAATTGTTATCTTTCTTCCTCTCAAATGAATGCCTAGCTGCTACCCCCGCTGCCCTGGCGCGGCTGATGGCTCGGGAGTCCCTGATCCAGTGGGCATGGGCGTAGCCAGAGGGGAACGGGGGGGGGCAGCTGCCTCCCTAAATCAAGTAAATATATAAAACACACTTGACTAAAAGTAGAAATTGTAGAAAGATTTTGACAGATTTTCCCCCTGAGCATTTGGGGTCAAGAGAAAGTAATTTAAAACAACTGCTGTTGAGACATTTAACCCGGATTCTGCTAGACAGCCAAACAGAGGATGATGACAGGTGGGTTTCCTGCCCCCCCCCCATAAATCTTGGCTACACCCAAGACAGTGGGATGCTTATAGAAGCACCCTCTTCGGATGTCGATGCCCAGAGTCAACACCACTGACTCGGGGCTCCTTTGAGGGCATGCATCTGTGTAGGATGGCTGTCCCTTGGAGAGAGGCCAAGGAAGCGTTTATTTTTGGCTGAATCCTTAAGAGGCCATTATAGCTGGACAACTGCACTAACGCGGGCTATCGATCCACTCAAGAGAATTCTTGCAAACGCAGCTGAATACTTTCTTTTGCTGGGCGCGAGACCTCCGATGGGTCATCATGATGAGAACCCCAGGCCGAATCTAAAAGGGTGTCCCTTGTTGTGGGAGCTGCAAAAGCCTCTTGCCTGTGACTGCGCAAAGGAGAAAGGCAGGCAGGCAGACAGACAGGCAAGCAATCGCCTCCAGCTCCGCTGTGCGGGCCGATGCATTGCAAGGAACGAGACCGAGGGGCCTGTTGTGCTGGCCAATGCATCTTTCGTTCTCCTCGTCTTTCCGAACTGCCAAATTGCGTCCACGGCCAGACAGAGCAACAGATCGCCCCAAATTCAACGCACAGCCTCTCTTTCCTTGGCGCAGGGAAACAGCGCCACCTCGCGAAGGAAGTGAAGCAGCTGTGGGCGACGGCAGCAGCAGCCCGTTAAAAGATCAACAAATTTATTTTGGCAAAAGCTTTCGCGGGCTAGAGTCCGGTTCATCAGATGCTTGAAGTGTTATACTAGATTGCCAGGTGTATGATGGAGGCGGGGGGGGGGGAGAGAAAGTAAGCAGGGAGATTCTGAATGGAGGAAATGCAGTGCAAAATGTACATACTATAATCATAATTGCATTAAAGCTTAAATGTACTTTCCCCTAAAATGATGAGATTTCTGTTTAGCCTTCTGAATTAATTAATTGCATTAATTTGTCCATTGTTAAAAAAATCTTTTTCTCTCTCTAAAAAGCCCACTTCCCTCTTGTAGGTGTATAGACAGATTTCCATTTTTGTTCTATTGCTAACCAGGCAGTAGTTAATAAATTAATTCATAATTTGTTATGTTTTATACCTTCATCATTAATATAACCCTAAGGTATTGCTGGACAATAGTATCCTCCAATCTTCTTCTGCAGTTTATAGCTAGCGTTCCACCCCACTCCACTCCACAGTTTGAACTTGCAAATTGTTTTATTGTTCCTGAACTGCAACCTGACACATATCTGTGAAACCAGCCCTCAATCCAATGAGTTAGCTTCTTGAAACAAGCATTCAAATAAGGTTAGTGGTCTTGTAATTTGGGGGCATAACAAATCATTCTTTCTGCATGGAACTTTTCTGTTTGCAAATATCCTAGCCATGGCTGAGGGGGTCTTCGGTGATGATGGTTGTAGCCTGTCATAAGGTATCAAATTCTGATTAGGTTATAGGTTTATAAAGCATTTAAGCTCCATTAGAATCCAGGGTGAAAATTGGTTGAAAGAAAAATTGTGCTGAAATTTGTGCAGTACAAACTAGGCTAATGGTGATTGGTGTACCTAGAAAGAGATGCTATACTTTGGCATGCCATACCTTAAGCATAGTAGCTACCATCAAGTGTTTATTAGGAGCAACAGGTATGCTTTGCAGTCCATAAAATAGCTTCCATATAATGAGTGGTGTGTGTGTTGCTCAGTTTGAGTCCTTTTTATCATTTGCACCCACTAGGAGGAAGCAACATTGTAAAGAAGATTTGGCATTGCTGTTCCCCTAATAATTTTGTTTTTCTATATAATGTTTGAGCTTGTACCCAATGCCTTTCCTCCCTCTAGATAAAATTTAGAACAGTGGATCTCAAACTCCCCCCACCCTGCCACCCACCACTTGAGGGTCTGGGTGGATCACTTCATGTTGTTTTTTTCTCCTTGTTTCTTTAGCAACTGTAATGTTACTAAAGTACTTTTCAAACATTATGTGGAATGCAAATTTTAGTACAATACAACATGATAAGAAATAAAAGAAGCAATTAAAACACCACTGAAAATCAATATGAATATTGTAATGTGATGGAGGGGTCACAGACCACCTGAGTGAAACATATCATGGTTAAGGAACCCCTACTTTGGAAAATCATTTGGCCGTTTCTCCAATGGTTTTTCTGGAATATATATGGGGACTGTTTTAAACAAATATAGGAAATAATGATACAACCCTCATATTAATTCATGCTATCCACCCAAACTGGGAATCGTGCCAAATCATTCAGTGCATTTTTCAAGAGTGTTGCAAAGGTGGTTTGATACAACTGTGACAATTGAGTAATTATATTTACTCCAAAATATTTCACTGAGGTGGTGATGCATTTAAAGGGAAATACATACCCCACAATTCCTTGAGAGAGATAACATCATGAGAACCTCTGATTTGTCAGTTTATTTTTAAACACTGAGATGGAGCCAAAGGAACCAAACTCTGGAAGAATTGTCCAAAGAAGGAGGTCATCTGCGTATAATCGTATTTTATGCCACTCTTGCCTAGTTAGTGGGAAGCGGGCTGGCATAGCACCATTTATTGCCGCACAATATTGTGCTGTAGAATGCAAGACATTTACCATTTTACATAAATTAGATTCAAAGTTAATACTTTTAAACAGTTGTTTCAAAAAGGGCCACTCCAAACTGTCAGCGGCAAGAAATTGGAGAAACAGCAGGACTCTTGTAATTTATGGAAAACTCAGGAAGAGCCTTTTTGAAAAAACTGAAATGTCACCTCATCAGAATCAATTTTAATTTAGGTTCCAGGAAAATATTAAATTTTACCTGCTAGGATAGATGTACGAACAAATATTTCCTCTTGGTTATTCAAGCATATAGGTCAGAATACTTGTGGTAGAGAGAATTCCTTGCATTGCTTTTGATTAGCAGCATTAAAATTATTTCACACGAAAATCTGGTGTTTGCCCGATTGAAGGCACACCACTGAAGGCATCCAGCACAAGAGGAGCTAGAAACTTGCCACTAAAATGTTAACAGAACTCAGCAGGAAGGCAGTCTGTTCCAGGAGCATTTCCATTGTTCACTTTTTAGCTCTCTGGACTTGCTCCGTTGTTCTGGCACCTGTTTACGTACTGCCTCTATTTTGGGCATTCCACATCTCTGCAGCACAGCAGAGGCATCTACCTCTTTAGGGAAATTTGATTGATAGAAAGTCTTGTATATTTTGCAAAAGCAGTTGCTATCTCATTGTATTCTTAATTGTGGGCCCATGATGATGCTGTTGCTTGGATTTCTTTGGGTTTTTAAAAAATACATATGTATCTTTTTCTATATTCAGAATAGGATTGTTTCGTGTAAAATATAGGTCCCCCCCCAATTTTCTTTGTTTCCTTGGTTTCTACTGATTTTCTAGTAATTTGGAGTTGGTAACATTTTCTACACCTGTTC